ACACAAATTGAAATTGATGGAGACAGAGAGACAGAGAGAATTTACTCACTTTTTACTATCAACATGTCTAAACTACAGAAGTTGGAAGGTACTCAAATAATAATTCAGACTAATTATACTGATACTATTCAGCTCTGATTCTTTGGGCACATAGCATCGGTTTGATATCTTAACAATTTACCTGAAAATAAGAGAGACAGGTTGTATTTTTGTCATCTTAGTGCTCTGCTATCAGACAATCTTCAGTCATTTCTTTACAGTAGACATCGGGCATGCAAATTGTTCTAATTGAATTTGTATATATGAAATACCTTTCAATAGTCTAAACAGAAAACCTACGACTGTAGCCAGTTGCTCTTCGGTCTTTGCTCTTTTTTTTCCTGACTGTGGTGTGAATTCCACTAAACACGGTTGAGTTGCAAGAAAGCATTGTTCTTCTCTTAATGTGAACAGGAACAAGCTGGATGCTCGAGATGCTGAACACAATGAGCCACAGAACTGTAAATGCATCCAGTTGTTACTGTCTCCTGCCTTTGTCTTAACCCATTTTATATATAAGCTAGAGTACCTTTACATTTCAGAACTGCAGAATCACCATTTATGTCAGGGTTAGATCTGTTTGTTAATTATCAAAATTCTAATTGGGATAATTGTGGTGATTTTTCTAGAGGCTTGCGGAAGTATCGCAGTCTATCAAGGTCCACGGAAAGAACCAGATGATTATTCTAACTTCATAATTGAAGATTCTCTGGCAACTTTTCATACACTTAAACAGATAATAGATATAGTTGAAAAGCTGAATGAATCACATGAAAAATACCAGAAGAAGAGATCATCTAGTGCTAGATATGGTAGTGAGTAAGTATCTTACGTGATTTCGACATACATATAGGTGTATTTTTTAAAAAAAATAAATCTCAGAACAAGGCTTGTTGACGTAGAGATAATTAAGCTCAAGGTATATCTATACCACACAAAGACATGGAGAAAATAAGTTACACCATTTGTAGTAATGCAGATTTTTACCAGTTGGTAGAAGCTACCAGAAGTTTCTCTGATGTGGGATTCATCCATTTTCCTGTTGAGATTCCCATAAGCAAATGCAATGACTCAGTCATTTCCTTGCAGCTTAACATCTGAAGTGCACACAAAATTAATCCCTTTCTACCTACCTTCTATTTTTTTTTTTCAAAATTTCAGATTTCAGTTAAGAAATAATTAAAATATCAAGTTATATAAAACTGTAAAAATCACACTGCAGAAACGTACCTTTCATGCAGTATATTTACTGTTTGTAATTCGCTTGCCATACTCGATGATTAACACTATTTGTGGTGAAGTTAAAAAAAAACGAGAAGCAGCTCCTCTGTTCTTTGTAGTACGTTGTTGTTGCAGAGCAGATCCTTCTAATTCTCTTCAGTCCTAGCTGATAACGATGGAACATCACTAGCAAGTATTCTGATTTCTTCTGTACATCAATAAGGCTTGATTCACAAGAAAAAAAGAATGCTCAAACCCCGTTTGGCTTCCCTAGTTTATTTGACCCAGATTGTTTAGAAATACTGACTTTGATTTAGAGGTCTTGCCTGAAAGTACGTGAGGCTTTCCACAAATGGTGAAATTTCACAAGTAGTGGTAGAAATTATGCAGAAAATATAGATTTGCTTAATAAATTAAAATTCTATTATGAGAACTAAGAAACAAATGTTAACCTTAAAAATACCTACATAAATTATCATATTTTTTCCAGAGAAAATCCAATTGTTGGAAAAGTTTCCTAACCAAAACCAAACTGGCACATTTGGATGAAAGAAGAAACTGGAATGTTCTGGAGCATTTGGGGTTTTTGTTTTATCTTTTTTTCCTTTTTTTAAAATTCATAATATGCATTTTTACAAAGTATTTAAGAATTAACATAAATGTTAGTTGTGTTGACAATCTATTTAATATTTAATAGAAAAATATCTACTTGGAAATCTGGTTTTAAGGTTTATTCTCATTTTGCTGAAGAACTGGACGTTCTAGGTTCTTGAAGTAACAGGTATGAATAAATCTAAATGTTGTTTTGCCACTGTTGTCATATTGAGAAGAACTTTCTAAACAAATAAGCTTTTTAATGAAAGAAATTTCCACGCAGCATTTGTTGGTGGGATTACATCTGTCAATACATACACTGCAAACTTGCATGAGTTTACTATGAGTACCTGCCCTGCTGATATGCATCTTGAAATGCTCTGACATGGAAAAGATCTGAAGCTTCACATTTGATTCATTTGACTTCTTTTTTTCCTTGTATTAGGTGTTGTCAGGACTTGATTTATCTGTAGCTATAAATCATACAGTATTCTGCAAATAATCTGGACAGCAGATACCTGTGTTAGCTATGTTTTTAAGTACTAATGAAGAAGAGATCAGGGAACGTAAGTTGTACCTCTTGTTTACATTTAGGGTGAGTAACATATGGAGTGACAATAGACCACTATCTATTTTCTTTAGGATTTTTAAAGGTACATCTTTTTTCTTAATCTAAAAAGAAATGCAGGGTAGCAACGTTCTTTTTAACTAAGTTTGCCCGCAAATAGAAACATTTAAATGTGAACAGATTGTGGTTAAGTACTTATCAATTTACATCATCCCATGTATGATTTTGTTCTTTTTTTTTTTTTAAATAAAAAGTAGTAACTAGGTCCAGCTCACCTTTTGACTACAGATCTAATAAATAATCTCTATTATAATCACTCAAAGCACTTTAGATATCTGGACTATCCCAGATTATTTTTAGATACTTTGTAGTATCTGCTTGTTATGATCAGTTGAATGATCAACATTGTTTTGTCTTTAAGCAATGCTTCAGTGAATATTTTTATATCTTTAGTTATATGGATCCATATTTGCCACTTAACACAATTGTAAACTGGCTTTCTCGACTTCAGTAAGATTAACTTTTGCTCACTCCATCTGAGAAGTTAGGTTTATGCTGAAAGAACAGGTATGTATATAACCAGGAAGAAGCAAAGGTATTACTGTGGCAACTTTGCTTCATCAGTATTAAATACAACGGTACTGCTCGGAATATTATTTTTAATAATAACTATATGTGGTACTTTTATTTTTGGAGCATTTATTGTGGAGTCTTTTGTTGTTGTTTCATTGAGTGCGGTTTTGTGGGGTTTTTTACAGTCATGATTTGGCCAATTTAAATAGAAATGTAACTTACAATAGAAATCCACAGTGCTTGAAACTATAAACTGTTTAAATTTCTATACGTTTATTATATGGTAGTAGGGAGGCTTTCTGTAATAGAACCAAGTTGGCAAGACAGGATTGGAGTGTTTTATGGAATGAATGTAACTTGTTAGAATAACTGCTTGGTTCAACAGCAAACTATTTTAGAATATCTGAGATCCGGTACTAGTATCTGCAATGTCACAATCATTTAATCACCTCAACTGTTGTTGCAGTTTCCTTTTTTACACGTTTGATGGATTCTAAGGGAATTTTATTTGCCAGCTGGTAAAATTGGGGGGTGGGAGAAGAAGGGAATATATTAATGCCAAGAAATGTGTTTTGCCAAGGTAAAGTGTGTCTGATTAATGCCATTAATAAAAAGCTTCCATTAAACAAAGTTGAATGTGGTTGGGTGTCAAAGTTAGGTTTTGCTATATATGGATTAAGCCTATGGCAAAGCGTCTGTTCCTTCAAGCCATTTTCTGTTGTTTTCCGAGTCAAATTTATGAAAAATTAAATTGTGTACTCTTGCGACGTTTTTTAAAATGTGCACCTTTTTTTTTTTGCTTTGGTACTGGAATATCTAGGGGAACAGAAAAACAACCAACAAAAGCCATTGAATATTTGTGACCAGTAAGATTTGATTTTTCATTTTATAATGTTTTCAAATGCAGTAGATGTTCTAGAATTTAATTAGGTACAAATAGGATGATTAATAATAAAAGTTGCCTTCCTTCTGATTAGTCTAGAAAGATTGTTATTCAGTAATTAGTTCTGTTGGTATTGTAAATTATCATTAGTTTTCATTTGTATGATGATGATGTACTGTTGAATGTATTTTTATTTAAATTTTATTTTCTTATCAAGACATTAAAATGTTTTGTAACTTTGCTTGAGAATAACTCACAAATAAATTACAACAAACTTGACATATGATGTGTGTTTGTTGTGAGTCCTGGCTTTTTAAAATGCTAGCATTTATCTGAAGACTGTATTAGTAGGTGTTCACATACAGGAGTTGGGTATAAAGAGAGAAATCTAGTTGAAAAATAAAAATTAAGTTGAGGGATCTTGCATGGGCATCTGCAGCACTGTGACGTTCTAAGACTGATGGTTGGAGAGAAGAGTGATAGTTAATAATGTAACGTAACAGCATACGTAGAAGCCTAAGTAACTTGACAGATCTCAATATGTTTGCAAGGATTCTTAGTACTATGTTATTAGTGTTATATGGCTATTTTTTTCTTGATTACTGTTTGCCTTTCATTACCTGTCCTGTGTAGCAGTACCAGCTATGTAATTTGTCAGACCTTTTTTAAATGTATTGCATATGGAAAAAATAGTGTCTTTACTTTTCTAATCTTCATTCTTTTTTATGTAATATTGGCACATTTTAGCTACCTGTTCTCCCCTCCTATGCTTATGGGTGTTTTTTGTAAGATAATTTTGTACAAGCATGTTTTAATGTTCTGAGATGCTTTTGTTTCCTCGTACAGAGTGCTGACCTGCTCTTTATTGCTGGTACGGAAGCTCCTATCAGGAGTTACAGCGCAAATCTTCCAGCCATTTTTTAATTAATTTTTATTAATTCTGAGGTAAGCTGTATTAAAGGTCAGTCTGAGTGATTTGCAGAGATCAGAATGCAGAGGAAGTTAAAGATGGGGTTGGAAGCACGGGAGGAATTTTTTTGTGGACGTTAAAAACAATTTGCAAGGATTTTGTGATTATTATAGCAGAGTGATCTATTCTTTTCACTGCTAATACGCTACCTTCTCTAAATATTCAATTAAGCTGACTTCTCCCTAAACCGTGACCTGAAAAGGGCATTCCCATTTATGATCTGTAGCTTCTGTGCTACATGATGCATGTAAGTCATGGATGCATGAGGCCTCTGTAGAAAGTTCTTCCTAGGACTCTGGATTCCTTGAAAGTCAGTGCGCTCATTTCTCACACAGTTCTAGACATCTTTGTCCCCTATCATACATGCAGATAACTATAGTGAGAAAATGCATACTTGTAGCCTATAAAAGGTGAGCATATATGTTTATCTTCATAAAGTCTACCCATAGACTATATATATAGTAAACAGAATCAAAAATATATGGAAAATTAAGTGTTTACAAGACATTATCTTTAATTTCTGCTCATTTATATGTATTTTAAAGTACAAAGTTTTCAACATTTACTCACATTTGATAAGGACTGATTCAGTATTGTTTTTAAAAGAGCATGCATATGGAATAAAAGTTAGGCTAATAAGCAACAGCACCCGGTAAGAAGGAGCAACTTACATTAGAATAGACAAATGCGTACAATTTAAGGTTCTTGTAGATAGTTACAGAAGCATATTTAACTAAGTTTTATATGATTTATGCAGATTAAACAAACCAGAAATCCTTTAATAGCAGTAAGGAGACTATATCACTGTTACTGTGTTCAGCTGTGATGAGACTGCTGCTGGAATACTTTCTCTGTTCCTGAGATTGAGCAATATAAGCAGTTGGTTTTTTTAAAAAATAAATGAATTCACAGTTGAGTAGAGCTGCAAAAACTGGGAACATGGACTGTAATTTAGCTAAATTACTTAATTTAAAAATATAAGTTTAAAAAGCCACTTTATGTACCTAAATCAGGGAAAGAAATTTGGTAATCAGTTGCTTTATAATCAGAATAAGGTTTAAAAAGATGTGGTGGCTGCAGTGTTCAGGAAGTGCATGTGTCTTGTAAGAATGTGTTGATTTGGGGTTTTTGTTTGTGGTGGGTTTTTTTTTTTAAAAAACCCTATTAGACAACCTTCCTGAATTGCTTTTAAAATGTTCTTTACATTAATAAATAATTATGGGAAATAATAAAATTCATCCATGTATAAATCTTACCTAATACAATGTTCCATAAAATTGTGTGACAAAGCTTTTGAACTATTTGGGGTTATAATTATTTTAACATAATTACTATTGCAAATGCTGTGGCAGTTTTATATAATGTCTAGTTAACAGTTTCACCGAAAAGAGGATACATGTTGTCATTTTAGAAACATTAGTTACATGGTTTTTTTAAATCGAATCTGTTTGCTTTAACGAGTTGTGGCTTCATTCCCCACTTCTGATCTCTGTTTTTGGTCATTCTTCCTACACAGGGGAAAAAGCTGAGAGAATCATAGAACAACCAAAGTAAATCAACTGTGACTTGAAATCATGACTGAAAAGTGACAATCTCTTACTTGGTTCCTCTGAAATAGTAGCAGAGAAGATTTTGTCTCAAGTTTCTCAAAAAAAGCAAGGTATCCCCTGCTTTGTTGCAGGTTGGTGTTTCAGTGACACACTCCACAGTGTCAGGGAGACAAGAGACAAGATGATGTTTTGGCTTCAAAACCATCTGTGTTCACGCAGTGTGTTCCTCCGAGATGAGCGTGCAGACACTGTACCTACCGAAGGGTTACTTCAGTAGCCAGCTAAGAAGCTTAGCAAGGGGAGCTCCAAGGGGCCCTGCTTTTCCTGGAGACTGACATAGTTGCTAGGTGATACAGAAACAAGCCTTCATCAGATGGCAAAAA